TGCTGAGACACTGATGCAGTGCTACATTTCTACAAACCTGATGAAGAAACACACTCATCCTGATCTCTGATTTTAGCAGATATTACTTTGGGCGAGCTTGTAGGCATGGGTAGTTTTTGTTTTTGTGTCCATTCATAAGTCATGTTATTCTGGGGTCTCCTCGGCCCCTTCGATAGCTCAGTTGGTAGAGCGGAGGACTGTAGCGGTGAAGCCACGGAGATCCTTAGGTCGCTGGTTCGAATCCGGCTCGAAGGAGGGAGCTTGTTTTTTTCATGCACAGCTCGAGTAGCAAGATTGTGTTCAGTTTGAACTCTTTCTTCCATGTTGTATTTTTGGGTAAGAATAAGAAGCACTTCATCCGGTACTTAGCGTCTTTCATTCCAACATAAGAAAGCATTTCTGGAATCTGCGTCTGAAATAGCATTTAGATGTATTTACACAGTGTATGTATCTCAGAGGGGACGTGGATGCATTTAACCTGCAGTTACAGATGCATAAATAATACTGATATTTAAAATGATTTTTAACATGGAAAAAACAGTTGAAATGTGAAATTAAAACCGCCAGTAGGTGGCAGCAAGTGACTGTTAATGAGTGAGTCGTTGAGATTCACCGATTCATTCAAACGGCTGATTCATTCAGGAGCAAAACTTTTTGACCTTGTTAATGAATCATTTATTCAACCGACTCGTTCAAAACACTGATTCGTTCAATAAGTAAATTGCTCAGAGACGCAAAACAGTGCTGTGTGACCTTTGTTTGGAACTATTTTTGTTAGCGATATTGAGCAAAAACAGGCAATGTTGTGTTTTTAGGAGTCTAACTCGCAGACGCCAAACCCGCTTTCCTGCAGTCCGTGTTCTTCCCACAGTATTTTATAGTATACAGAGTAAAAGTATACATTTTAATTAGGAGGTGTAGTGGAGTGAAAGTGAAAGCGGACAGAAATACCACTGTTCAAGATAACGCTATGCACACATTCATCAAACCAGACCAGATGAACTGGTTTAACTGCTCAAGGATTTGAATGATCATTTCTTTGCTGGACACTTGCATGCAACATTACCCTGCCTAACCAGTCTTTTACAGTTTTTGACCAACATTGCCTATTTAAAATATTCATATTCTGGTCCAAACTGGTCTTCTGCACGGTTTAATATTAATGTAAGGAACCCTAAAGATACAAGTTGTCGCGCGCTGCTAGAGTGCTTGTGCAGTGCGTGAGCGCAGTGTGTAGCACGCGCGGGGGGTTAGCTCAGATGCGAGAGGTAGCGGGACCGATGCCCGCATCCTCCAACTCTTTTCACACCGCGAATTATGAAGGAATTATAAAAGAAAATATCAAAGTAGACAACTCGCACTGAATTAGATGTTTTAAAAATATACGTAGAATCTTGAATCTCAGTATTAAAAACGTGAATAATCTGATTTTGGGCGAGCCAATCAGCGGTCGCTGTGCTGCGCTCTCGAGCCAATCAGCGGTCAGCTCGCTGTTCCTGTGAGTCGGGTTTGTTTGGGTCGCTGAGGACGGAATAAATGCAGGTATTTATTCTCAACACGGCGAAGACAAACTCGTGCTTGCTCGGAATCGTGTTTAGATCGTGTTTAGGTGTTTTGTCCGACGACAACGCTGGTTTCGTCATGAAATCTCTGCTGTGAAGCTAGCCAGTGCTAAGCAGCACGAGATCAGAAACATCATGTGTTTATGATCTGGCGAATGATAAAGAATGAGACGCTTCGGATAACATGTTTATATCGCGTACCGTTACCTACAAAACCGTACCGCGGTACAGCGATGACTTCTGATGAAAATACCTGCTATTGTTTGATTTCTGTAAAATCACGGTCATCTTATTGCTCGGAGACAACGACAATTATGTTGAATATTAATTACAAATATTAAATGAAGTAATTAAAAATGTACGGCAGTACCAGGGTATTACCATGTTTGGTACATGTCTGATATTTCAGCAAGCTTCAAAGAAAATTTAACTAGAAGTCGTAAAATTTATTTTTAGGAAACAGGACAAATTAAAAATGAAAAAAAATCTACTGTATAAACATTACGTAAAAAGTGAAAAAATAGTTTATTCAACTTTACAGAAGGAGAATGCTGCAAAAATGTTTCAATAACATGTATAGTGTATATTTAGCATGTGCAATAAAACATATCACGGTTATGTAAAGGAGAAAAAACGCTTTTAAACGTGTGGCTGGAGTTTATTCTGGTTTGTTTTGAACAGGATTGTGAAGCGAGTCCGAGTCCGTTCACGCCGAATGAAACACCGTTTCTCTGCGAAAGCAGTAAACACCCATGTGTTTCTGAAAGATGAAAACATGAAGAACACACACACACAGTCTCACACTCTGACACTTTATTCACATCATTTTCATACAAAATGCAGATGTCCAGGCTGCCCGAGCGTCCGGTTCCTGGTCCTCCTCATCCTGAAACAGACACACAGCAGTGATCATCATCTACGGAGACGGAGACGGAGACGGAGCAGAGGCTGCTGGGATACGCCGGGCGCGCTCACCTGTCTCTCTCAGCCTCACTCCAGCTTCTTGGGGTTGTTCACGGCCACATAATGATAGAGCACCACCAGCAGAAAGAGCGAGACGCCCAGCATGTTAGCGAAGATGGCCAGTTGCACGTCAGTCACCATCTCACTGCAGAACAGCACAGAGCAGCTCACACACTACTCACACACCGTCCAGCGTCCGGAAGAGCCTCGGGTCTCATGCTAAAGATGATTTTCTCAATATTTAGATTTTTTTGCACCCTCAGATTCCAGATTTTCAAATATTGTCCGATCCTAACAAACCATACATCAATGGAAAGCTTATTATTCAGCTTTAATGTGATGCATAGCTCTCAGTTTCAGGAATTGAGCTGCAAGACTGCTTTTGTGCTGCAGGGTCACACACAGCGCTTTATGCAATACTGATTATAAATGTAACGTTATGTAATAACACCACAGTATTAGGTGAAGGAGTTGAAAGCGCGATTAAAACACTCTTCCTCTTCCTCCTCCTCCTCATCGATGAGCACATCATAAACTCATAATCGCTAATAAAGCTTTTTTCTGAGCTCGAGAGTGTGATCAGCTGTGATGCGACGACAGCACACTGTAATAACGAGCACCAGTGGTGTAGTTCCCGGAGTTACTCACGCGTATCGTCTAGTTTTCGGGATGTTTGTGAGGAGTTCTCGAGAAGCTCGTGCTGCGCGGAGTTCCGGGGTTGAGACACGTCACCTACATACGGGTCTCTGGACGCGTCACGTCCGGAACAAGTCCCTGCCCGCTCACATTTACTTATTTTTTTTTTTTTTTACAGTTATTAATCTTGCTTTCGTATGAATTGTTTGTCTTTGATGTCACACTAAAATTGAAAATAATTCCGAGTCTGAGCGGAAGCCGCGCTTCTCCTCCCGGCCGCTGGAGGCGCTGATGACGCGCGAGATCTCCAACATTCAAACCGAAGCTTCGCTCAACAACAACATTCGTGTAAACACCGCCCTTTGATCCCTGAAGATACATCTTACACGTGCAAGTAACCTTTCCTTCTCATAAACTCTGTCTCTTGTGTTAACCCTTACTGCTAATCGAGTGGCTTTGATCAAAACATTTTTGTTAAACTTTTAGTTTTTAAAAGAAGTGAATTCTTTTCTTCAGGAAGCATGCGTTAAAGTGACACAAAGACTTACATTGTTAGAAACTATTTCTATTTTGGAAGAGTGCTGTTCTTTTTAACTTTCTATTCATCAATAAATCCTGAAAAAGTATCACAGCTTCCAAAAAAATATGCAGCAGCAGCAGTTTCCAGCATTAATAATAAATCAACATATTATAGTGATTTCTGAAGATCATGTGACACTGAAGACTGGAGGAATGATGCTGAAAATACAGCTGCGCATCACAGAAATACATTACAGTTTAACAGAGATTCACATAGAAAACCATTATTTTAAATTGCAATATTTTGATCAAATATATGCAGCCTTGATGAGCAGAAGAGACAACATTAAATATCTTACTGATCCCATATATAATCAAATATTATAAATAATATATATACAGAGAGATGTTAACTATTTTATACACAAGTAGTACGTTATAGTATTTTTTTAAAGAGTTGTGCTAAGTGCTTTCAGCGTGTTGGTCTTGTTTGGACGTCTGTATGTTGTGAAGCGAGCTGCTGTGTGTTTCTGCAGCGATGGGTGTCTCTGAGCTCTGGTCCGTCCTGGAGCCGGTCCGGCAGTCTGTGCCGCTCTACAGTCTGTCAGGAAAGACCCTCGCCGTGGACCTCAGCCTGTGGGTCTGCGAGGCCCAGCACGTGCAGGGCATGATGGGAAGAGTCACCAAACCGCATCTCAGGTGAGTCTGGAAGCAGTCGGAGAGGTCGGAGCCGTTTATTGCAGAGTGGCTCAGGTGTGGATGCTGTGTGTCGCGCAGGAACCTGTTCTTCCGCGTGTCCTCGCTCACGCTGATGGGTGTGAAGCTGGTGTTTGTGATGGAGGGAGACGCGCCGAGCATCAAAGCCCAGACCATGAGCAAACGCAGCGAGATGAGATACGGCGGAGCCAAGGCCAAACCCCCCGCTGCTAAAAACACCAGCAGAAGCCGATTCAAGGCCGTGCTGAGAGAGGTCAGCCTGCTTTCCGTCTCCACGTGCTGTTAGGACCTCGTCACCTAAGTTTACTTAATAATACTTCCTTACATTCATATAGCACTTTTCTGGGTACTCTTAGCGCTTTAATTGGAAGAAGGGAATCTCTTCAACCACCACCAGTGTGCAGCATCCACCATACTTCACTATATGGAGCACTAAACGGTCACAAGGGTCCATTTTTACTGAATAAATGCGCTTTCCATTGATGTATGGTTTGTTAGGATAGGACAATATTTGTAAATCTGGAATCTGAGGGTGCAAAAAAATCTAAATATTGAGAAAATCATCTTTAAAGTTGTTCAAATGAAGTTCTTAGCAATGCATATTACTAATCAAACATTAAGTTTTGATATATTTACGGTAGGAGATTTACTAAATATCTTCATGGAACATGATCTTTACTTAATATCCTAATGATTTTTGGCATAAAAGAGAAATGTATAATTGTGACCCATACAATGTATTGTTGGCTATTGCTACAAATATCCCCCAGCGACTTAACACTGCTTTTGTGCTGCAGGGACACATTACCAAATAAATCCTAATCTAATCATGACAAATATATATCGTTGGAAAGGTCTAAGAATCCTAAACAGCTATTTTGTAGGACATTAATTTATGACAAGAGTGCACCTCACAAATCTACATCATGACAGGAATCACAAAGGTTGCCTTTTTCCCTAACGCTTTATAAATCATCATAAATTATATATCAATTGAAAGCTTAAAAAACATCCTGTGAAAACCATTTTAAAATCAGACATTGCTTGTCCGTGGAAATGGTACTTCAAAATCATATTACAAAATGTATAACGATGTTTGGATCGTGCACTTTCTCGTCTCTGTTCAAGACGGGCCTTCATTTGATACAGGAACTATTCGAGCCGTTCGTGCCAGACTGAGGAGAGAGGTGTTGTAATAATGTAAAATATGTGAAAAATAACGTGTTTTTCGAACAACCTAGTATGAGAGCCTGTTCTAGTACACCCCCAAAACAAGATCAAGACTTTGTAAAAGAGTATAATAGGACCCCTTTAAAGGGTTAAAGTGTTTCTGTGCAGTGCGCTGAGATGCTGGACTCTCTGGGAGTGCCGTGGGTGTCGGCGGCGGGCGAAGCGGAGGCCATGTGTGCTTATCTGGACTCACGGGGCGCTGTGGACGGATGCATCACTAACGACGGAGACGTCTTCTTATACGGCGCTCAGACCGTCTACAGGAACTTCAACATGACTACAAAGGTTCCTACTCCTGTTTAAGTCTCCACGCTAGGGTTTCAACAAACAATTATTTTGATAATCGATTAATCTAACGAGTATTAGACCGATTAATCGTCGATCATTTCACTGATTAATAATCGGTAGACTTTGATTGATTATTCAGCTTTTGCAGTTAGTTAAAATATTGAGTTATACATATTCTAATCACTTCAGATTTTGAAAATCATAATGTAATTATAATTGATTAATTTATAGAAATAAATATATTTGTCTGAGAAACTCTCTTATTCACCATTTAATTAGCTATATGAAACACTATTCTGCCTAACATCTCCTTTTGTAAGTCTTTTATATGGATAAGAAACAAAATAAAGGTAAGTGATAAGACGCTTTATTTTTGGATAAACGATTTTATTCACAACAATCTCTAAAAATACTTTATAGGGTTGTTATAATAATCCTGAGCTAGATCAAGCTTCGATCTCTGCAAACCAAACCATCAGTTTAATGAAATAATATATTTTGCCACTAATAAACAGATGTATCGCTAGCTAGCTCCACGCGGGAGAGCTGCTTTATAACAGAAAGTAAAGTTGTGATTCTAGCTGAAAGCGACACCGACTCTGGTTTTTCATGTTTAAGGCTGTCTGCTGCATAAAGTATTATATAAATAAACGCATAGCTCGTGCAAACATCACAGCACTGTAATCAGATGCTTTCTTAACTGCTGCTTTCTCACCGCTGTCAGCTTTTCTTGTTTATTTGGTTATTGAGAGGAAAGCGCGCAGCGTATATTTACACATTCATCCAAACGCTGTTTTGATTAGAGTATATATTTTTTGTTTGTTTGTTTTTTAAAATATGTATACCTGTGTTTGTGTATGTATGTAAGTGGTGTCTAGTTGCCAGAGGAACTTCCACATGAACGGAAAAAAGTTTAACTAACTAATTAATTATTATGAATTAGTTTTAGTTAGTTATTTTAGTACTTCAAGTGAAACTAAATGAAAAAAGTTTCTTTGGCAAGTAGCTAATGTTAATTTTTGTGACTTGAAATAACTTTTATTTTACAGCATGAATGCGTGGTCTAAGTGAATAGTAAACAGCTGCTGAGATTCGCAGCGTGGAGGTTCGGACCCGGAAACGACTAAACGAGCGCATTATTGTGGCATGTGTGATGTGAACCCGCCCCTTGATCACATGACCACTACTGCTCTAGTGTGAGGGAGTTTACAGTCACTGTCACACAAACACACGGCCTGCAGGATTATAAAGCCTGTTTTTACTCCGTCAAATGCAGAGCGAGACGCTCCGGACTCATACGGCCTTCAGGTTTCCAGCATCTGCAGCTTGGCTGCAGCTCGTCCACCCCAACAGCTTTAAAAAGAAAATCTCGAACAACGGCTCGCATCTCCAGGACGGCCCCCGGCAGCTCTTTCTGCGAGTAATCACGTTTGAGACCCGCCAAACCAAGCCGAGCGGTAAGCAAATGCACACGGCGCAACGTGACGAGGCGAAACACCATCATGTGCTGAAGAAAAGGTTTTGAACCACAAACTCAAAAAATCCTTGGAAAATCTGGATCCCAAACCTAACAGGAACCAGACACGCTCACAGACATGCATGTGTGTGAGTGAGTGTGTGTGTGTGTGTGAGAGAGTGAGTG